TCTCTCTGTCTCTTCTTCTCTCCTCTCCTGCTCTGTCTCCTTTCTTTCTTACATACTCCGAGTTGTTCCTAGCCTCCTTTCTCCCTCTTTTCCCACTCTTTATTAACTGGCTCTCTCGTCTTCCTCTCTTCCTCTTTTCTTTCTCCTGCTCTTTCTTCTCCTCGCTCTCTCCTCCCTCCTTACCTTATCTCCTCGTCGTCTGCTCTCTACTACTCCCTCCCCTCCCTCTCCTTCACCTTAAGTAACCCCGGCTCGGGTCACTTCCATATTGTGTGTGCGCTTCCTCGTCATTCTGCTTTGGCTTTGGCCCTTCTATCGTCAATCGTACCGTCTCCTCCACTTTCCTTCGGTGTTTTTGGCCTGCTTCGAGTTTCTGCTCAGAACGTCTTCTCTCTCTCTCTTCTTTCTCTCTCTTCTTCCTCTCTCTCTCTCTCATCTCTCTCTCTCTCTTCTCTCTTCTCCTCTCTCTCTCTCTCCTTCTCTCTCTCTCTCTTCTCTCTCTCCTCTTCTCTCTCTCTATTCTATTCCTATCCGGTATCTATCTATTTTGTCTGTCTTGTCTAGTTATTTTTTATACCTACTGTCTATCTTTTTTCTGTCTTTTCTTGTTTTGTGTGTTCTCCTTTTCTCTCTTTTTCTTCATTCTATTCACTCTCTATCCTTCTCCCTTCTTTCCGTCGTCTTCCCCTTCCCCCTTCTCATGTCTCCTTCCTCTCATTTCTGCTTAATTACCACCTTTTTCCTCTCCCTCTTCTTCTCCTCTCCCCATCTTCTCCTTTCTTCCGTCTCTTCGTCCCTCCTCCTCCTCCTCTTTTCCTCTCCCTCTCCCTCCCCTCACTTCCTCCTCTCCCCTCTGTCTCCTTCTCTGCTTGCCCTAGTCCTGTTTCTTCCTTCTCGCTTTCTCCCCATCCATTGTCTGTCTTCGGTCTTTTCCTACATGTTGTCTTCTTCTTCCTTCTCTCTCCTCTATTCCCTCTTCTCCCTCCTCCTTTCTCTCCTCTTCCCTGCTCCCTCTCTTTTTCTCCCTTCTCCACTTGTTCTGTTCGCTTCTTTTCTCTCTAATTTTATTGATACGCTGTCCGTTTCTCTATCGAGGTAATAAAATTGAATCTATACGAAATGCAGTACTTAAATTCTTAGGCCCTGGGCTTGGATCTCTTCGTGCGGAAAATTTGATTCGACAAAGACAAAAGAGGAGGAGGTTCCGTTTCTTGAGTATATAGTAGGTCATCTGGTTGCTATTCGTCCGAAAAGAGTAATGGGAAGTGTGATGTTGTGTCAATGTTACTGTATATTTGGAAAGAAGTGTCATGCGTAGGCGTTTAAAATTAAGAGAGATATTGGACGATGTGATTGTAATTGATAGATGAGAGTTTGGTTGAGATGATAAGCATGTGACCGGTAGTAATTTATTGGAATCTGACTTGATAGCTGATCAGTATACATGAAGTAGAGATGACTTTATAGATTGATAGAAGAGAGAGTAGATTGGTAATGAACCGAGATGAGAAATTGTTTATAATAGACTATGATATTTTAAATTAAGAGATCTAAAAGTAGAGATGATTGATGAGAGAGTTAGTCTATTTATAGTGTATAGGACGAAGAGAGATGAGAGCGAGCTGATAGTGCATTATGGATATATTGAGAGTTGACGATAGCGATGTTATTTGTCTATCGCGGTGTGTAGTCGTTTAGCGAATGAGGCTTAAGAGGATCTTAGATATAATTTATGTTCGTGTGGTAAATCGATATAGATGTAGAGATGTAATAAATCTGGTATCAGTATATGCTGCGAGTACTAAAAAATATAGTCGGGAGATGGTGGATTACTTAGTCTGTGTATAATAATGTAAAACGAGATAGTAGGAAAAGAATACTGTGGGAGAGAGGAGGAGTAAGGAGAGCCTGTATTAGAAAAGAAGATGCGAAAGGGAGGTCTGGTCAATTTGGGATATAAATAACTTGTGGAGAAAAAAAGAACTTAGATTAGAGAGAATATAGATTGCAACACGATATTTTCCTCATTTTTTTCCACACATCGGTATCTATCGGTACCACTGTTTGGACCAAGCGCTATTGTCTCTTTCTCCTTTTTCTCTCTAGTTCCCGCTCTCTCTCTCTCTCTCTCTCTCTCTCTCTCTCTCTCTCTCTCTCTCTCTCTCTCTCTCTCTCTCTCTCTCTCTCTCTCTCTCTCTCTCTCTCATTTCCTCATTTCCTCATTTCCTCATTTCCTCCCTCCATCCATCCATCCATCACTCTCCTTCTCTCTCTCCTTCTCTCTCTCCTTATCTCTCACCCACTTTCTCTCCCTCTCCCACTCCTATCCTCTCACCATCTCCCTTTCCCTCTCCCACTCCCTCCCCTTCTCCCCCCTCACTCCCACCCCCTCTCCCTCTCCTTGTCTCTCCCCTTCTCTCTCTCCTTCTCTTTCTCCTTATCTCTCACCCACTTTCTTGCCCTCTCCATCCCCCACTCCTACTCCACTCCCCCCTCCCTCCCCTCTCCCTCCCTCCCCTCTCCCTTCTCTCATCGCGTCTTCCTCTCCTTCGAAATAAACATGAATAGGGCGATGACTTAACGAGGAAGAGAAGAGAGAGGAGCACAAAGGAAGAACTGTAAGAAGAAAGGGAGAAGGAGCAAGAGGAGTCAAAAGGAGTAAGTAGAGGCAGAAACAGATAAATAAATACGTAGAGAAATGAACCAAATATAAAACATCGATCCACGAAACAAAAAAAAGAGTAGAATAAGGAATAAAGGAAGTGAGAAGATAAGAGGGATAGACGACGGGCTATGCATACTGATAAGGCTCAGCGAACATCTGGATTTCTCAAAAAGAAATAAAAAAGAAAGTCAAAGAAAAAGTGGGTGTTACTAGGAAGACTCTCGCCGTTATCGTCACATCACGGAAGCTGATTCTAATTATATGTTGATTAAAATCTGTACAGTCGGAAAATAAGTATATGTAATATGAGTAAGTATATTACATATATCTACTATGAGGGACGGAGAGAGGAGAGAGAGAAGATAGAGAGGAGGGAGAAGGAGAAGAGAGAGAGAGAGAGAGAGAGAGAGAGAGAGAGAGAGAGAGAGAGAGAGAGAGAGAGAGAGAGAGAGAGAGAGAGAGAGAGAGAGAGAGAGAGAGAGAGAGAGAGAGAGAGACCCACACTCTCAGTACATGTTTGTGCGTTTCCACACGTAGGCAATCATCATACAGACGCCTATCATACAGTACATATATGTCTGCGCCTGTCTGCATATGGGCGCGTATTTGCATGGGCGCAGTCAAGCCGAGTGCGATCACAAGGGCCATGGAGGCTGCGACAAAGGGAGAGCCTCGAGGCCAGGGCGGGGAGCGCATCTGACACCCGCCGAACATGAATCATGTATGACAAATACAAAGCACTGGAAGCTCAATATGCGTGGTCTACATACATACAAATGCTGTGTACTAGTGCAGGTTGTTTACGAGAGTCCAAATCACAACATGGATTGGAAGATTTAAATAACACGCGCGTTCAGTCTGCGCGGCAACAACACCAACAACGCAAAACAAACAACAAAGCAAGGACACTCAACGAAAGCAAACGGAATAACGAAGACCGTTATCGTTATCCTCCCTCCGCCACGATCATTTACGTGCCATATAACCTCGGAGGTCCAAAAAATGCCCCTCGGTCACTGCGCTGGAGGCTGGAGTCTCGCGGATTTCGAAGAGGCGTTCTGCAAGAGGACAGGAAATCACACCAAGGGAATAGGGTTTTCTTATCTGCACTTGATAGGACACTTTATCTTGGGTGAAAGGATATACCTCTTTTGGGGGTTCTAATTTCCACCTGATGTGATACTTTTGTTATCTTGAAAGGATATATCTCTTTTGCAGAAACAACGGCGTTTCATTATCACCCTGTGTGTATGACATGACACATGACTATTGGATGTTCAATAGCACATAGCTGTTACATTTGACATGGCATATCACCATTATAACTGCACGGATGTATCTATGTTGCCTCTGGACGTATAGATCACTCACATAGTGGAAGCGACACGACATCATGACAGATAAACTGGAACGTCAATATCGTAAATTTAAATATCACATCAGCATAAAAGTGCCATGACTTATCAACAGGTCCATAACAAGCCCGTCCCGCCCTTCCCCCCTCCCTCCTCCCCTCCTTCCTTAACCCATCCCTTCCCCCTCTCCCCTTGCATCCCCTCCCCTCCTCCCTTAACCCCTCCCTTTCCTTCCCCTTCCCCGTCCCCCACCCTACCTTTCCCTCACTCGAAGCCATCCCACGCAAGGCTGTCTCGGGAATCCAATTATTTCCTCAAGGAAAATGCCAAGAGGATGGTACATGTAAATATTTATATAAACATTTATATATATATATATATATATATATATATATATATATATATATATATATATATATATATATATATATATATATATATATATATATATATATATATACATACACGAACCATATTCTAAAAAGGGTTAAAGATTGCGCCATCTCAGACACTTCATACTTACACGGAAAAGACGTACGAGTCATCTTCGAATCATAACTGAAAAGGGCGTGAAATTTTCCGCTTCACGAAGGGCATGTCAAAGGAAAGAAAGGACTTGCTGGTGCCAGAAGGAAAGCGAAAACAAAAAACAAAAGGCATATTCTTGGGGTTCCTGGTAAAGGCGTAGGTTGGGATTAACATACCGAGGCATGCTCATGAAAATCGAATCCTTGACCTTTTTTTCTAAAAATCCGACTTGAATAGTTTTATGAACATTAATGCTAATCAGTAACTGATAGAAATCGTGATAATGATGTATAATTGAACACTTAGAATGATCCTTAACAATTATTAATCAGGGAAATAACATCAAAGATTTAAAATAAGAAATAAGATAAACATATTTTCTTAAATGACCCCTAAATCCTACTCTGACCTTTGACCCCTGACCAGTGACCTGTCGACGAATTTGACCTTACCGATGCCAATGAAGCCGTGTCGTAGTCATAGGAGCTGGCGATTTTCTTGACACTAGTCCCGTCTGCTCTGTCAACGCTGTGAGCAGAGAAAAGGGTGAATTGGTGGTGGTGGTAGTGGTGGTGATGATGGTGGTAGTGGTTAATTTTGATAACGATAGGGGTGGTTATGTTGGGGTTGTGGTGGTGGTTATGGTGATGGTAGTGGTGATGTTGAAATCTGGAGATGGTGGTTATGACAGTGATGGCACTGATGATGGGAATGATAACCTCGATGATGATAATGGTGACTATGAGGATATAGCCATGACGGAACAATCAACTCTAATAAAGCATATCTATACATATGAACCGTATTCATATTGACAAATGTAGAAAGGTATGAATGAGAATGAATATCTTCACAATACA